GCACTTTGCCAATAGACGCAACGGGATCCTTGACTGGTCGGGCGACGTAGCCAGCGATCTTCTCTCCAACAGGTGGCGTGAAACTCCATACTGGTTCGGAACCAGGCTTACTTTCCAGATAGCCTTTCAGAGTACCGTCAACCAAGGTAAAAGAAACAAGCTCTTGTCCCTTGGCAGCGAGGGGAACCTCAACCTTGATCTTGTCGGGAGAAATAAGGCCACCAGTCGTCGAATTGATGAACAGCGAGCCCTGGAAGTTGGCATCCCTCACTTCAACGTAGCCACTGTGTGCCTTCAGAGTCGGATTTTGGAAGCTTGTATCGGGCGCAAACTGGCCAAGGTCCATGTTCCACATGACCTTGCCCCGCGATCCAACATCGAGGGCAGCGATGCGACCCGTCTTGGTGGCGACGACAACCAGTTTGTGGAAGCCAAAGGTATCTTGTTGTATATCGTCGACTGTGGTTTCCTTGGGCTTGCCAACCACACTACCCAAAATGCGCTGGGGAATATTCTGCGCCCATTCTGGGAAGTACTTCAGATCTTCAATATGCCTCTGCACACGGTGGATGTAAGCGGAGACGAGGTTACGGTGGCTCTCATCGGCAAGTGCTTGTGCCAAGGCCTCCTCCTCAGGAAGGCCGGCCCAGACTGCAGAGACAGTGCCCGACAAAAACTCGGGCCGGGTCCAGGCGATTTCATCGTTTCGCAGGAGTGCCCACTGTCCGTTGGAGTACAGGACAGCGGACCGTACAGCGCTAGCGACGCCAGACTTCAGGACAACCTCAGACTGACCATGCACAGGGTAGGCGCCCGCAAGTGTCGGAGAGCCCCTGACATTCCAGCGACCTAATACGCCGTGCGAAACAGAAGAGAAGACAGTGACTTCGTCTTCGGTAAGCCTGGTGAAGTAGACGTTGGCGTCGGATGTGCTTGTAGCAAATGTTCCCTTCGTCTTAAGCTCTGGGAGGCTGTAGGCTTTGGAGATGGTTTGCTTGTTGAGGTCGACGTGGTAGACTTCGGCGGAATGACCGACGGCGGTTTGGTATTCGACGAGGAAATGGGCGAGCGAGTTGATGTGGTTGGGAGCATGCAGGACGATGCTCTCTACTACTTCGTCGCCTGGCGTGTTAAAGGTCGACACAGCCTTGGAGCCGATGATGTTCACTTTCAGCACTTTGTTCGCCTTGTCGGTCCACGCCAGTAGTGGGGCAGCTGTGTTGGCTCCAGCGAACAGGATGCGGTCGCGCGAGGAGATCTCAGTGTCGGAGTTGAGGGTGTATTGGTCAAGCTTCTTGCCGGTAATGGGGTTGAGGGACGTGACGCGGAGCTTGGAGCCTCCGAGCAGGGGCGTGTGGAGGGCGATGTAGTAGATGGTGGTGGGTGAGGTCGAGACCTGGAAGGGCGTATCTCCGCTGTGAAGAAGTCAGCGTTTACTACATGTCGGTGTTTTGGCATAGCTACCTGGTATCCTCAAAGGTCCATTTGGCGCGACCAGTCTTGCCATCGAGCCTCTTGACACTGCTGCTGCCGTCGGTAGTAAGGACAATGGCGTCTTTGGCCGCGCTGATGGTCATGCCATCTTCCTGCTCCAGTATCTCGAGATCCTCGACTGCGGCGCCCTCGACGCTAGTCTCCCACACGAGCCGGCCATCCGAAGCACTCCATGCCGTTACGCGGTTTCCAACAGCGCTGATGACGGTATCCTGCTCGTTTCCCGAGCGCAGGTGTCCTTTTTGGCCGGGCTGCGAGGCCAAGTGTTGGCGCCAGACCAATGCGCCGTCCTTGGGGTTGATAGCGCCGATGGTCTGGTTCTGCGAGATGGAATACAGCAGAGACGCCTTGGAGCCGGCATAGGGCTTCTGGAAGAAGGTGGCCTCTGGTGCAGGAAGGCCTAGCAGCGCATAGTGGAAGTCAATGTGATAAGCGTCGTCCTCGAAGATGGCAGCTGCCGGAGCGAGACATGCTGCAAGGGCAATGGCCGCATGGAAACGCATGGTCGGGTGGAATTGCAGCTCGTCGTCGGCGTCGTCGTCGTTCGGCTACTATCCACCATGTGTCGGCTTCACAGCACACACCTCTGCAGTGCCCTGGCGCACGTGCCAGACCTGCTCCGGATCACGGGACCCTTATTGGGTGCCCTGCTCCCTAGCCTTGGAACATGGAACATGGAACATGGAACCGCCAGCCCAGCCTTTTCACGACTCAGTTGCAGGCGGCGTCGGGGAACCGGGTCGTCTCCATGGGCCATAATTACGTCGACTGTGATGCTTGCTCGACAGCCTTGCGAACCCTTCTTGTGCACGACTCGATACAAGGACCACGCTATCATAGATTGGAGCTTGTCCCGACGCCCTGGCTTCGTTTCGCGACTGGCCACGACGTCTTCGTCTCCTTCCCTCTCCCAGCATCTCGGCGCTTTGTTTTTTTGGCATAATTACGGGCTGTACGGGCTGCACCCCAGAGCCGAACACCTAGCATATCTCCTGCTAAGCCCTACCAAGTCTACTGCATGCATGTGCCTTCGCTACCTTCTTCTCGACTGCTCCCTGATTATCGCGACGCCGTTTCCCTCTCCCACCTCGACCTTCACGTGACGGGAAAAATCTGCCCCCAGCCCCCCAACCTCGCGCTTCAAACAGGTGAGTTACACAAACTTGCCCGCGCATGCATGCAGTCGAGCTGCTCTGATGGCTCGTTGATTGATGCATCCAAGCCTGCTTTTCTCTGATTGGGCCCAGCTTGATCTAGAAATACATGCGCTGACAAGTGTGGTTGGCCCAGAGCGCAGTACGACGCGCACCGCCCGACTCAGCTCGCTGGTACAGACGCAGTGTCCAAGCAGCACGGCGACTGTGACCGCTTAGCCTCTGCTAGACGACGGCGATTTTGAGCCGCTCGTCCCTCTGTGGCACACACCGCCACAGAAGGCGGCGAGGAGCACTTCTCGTCATTTTCCTCCTGGCCTCGCAGCAAGCTGCTCGCTCACGCAAATCCACAGCATGTCGCAACGGGAGTACCACATAGTCGTCCTTGGTTCTGGTAAGCTAGTTAGACACCGCCAGCAACTAGAAGACAGCTGACGACGGTGGCGCTACAGGTGGAGTCGGAAAGAGCTGCCTAACAGGTAAGGTTACCGCCTCGAGTGCTCGCCATTGTTACAGAATGCTGACCCCTTCAAAGCGCAATTCGTGCAGAATGTATGGATAGAGAGTTATGATCCTACCATCGAAGACTCGTACCGCAAGGTGCTTGATGTTGACGTGCGTCTGCTTCAAGTTGCTCTCGTTACCCCGTCGCTGACCCACTCCAGGGCCGCCATGTCATCCTGGAGATTCTAGACACTGCAGGCACCGAGCAATTCAGTAAGTCTTGACAGATGCCCCATGCACCCAGAAACCATGACTAATCTCAAGTAGCTGCCATGAGGTAACATACCGTCCGAGGCTCATTACAGCTCAAGACTTACACTCGATAGGGAACTATATATGAAAACCGGTCAGGGGTTCCTTCTGGTCTTCAGCATAACGTCGGCGTCTTCTTTCTGGGAACTGGCAGAGCTTCGGGAGCAGATACGACGAATAAAGGAAGATAGCAACGTTCCCATGGTCCTCATCGGCAACAAGTCAGATCTAGAAGATGACCGAGCAGTGCCACGCCCACGAGCCTTTGCAATCTCGCGTGAGTGGAATATACCGTACTTTGAAACCAGTGCTCGGAGAAGAGCAAACGTGGACGAGGCCTTTGTCGACCTCTGCAGGCAAATCATCCGCAAAGATCAACAGGAACGGTCGCGCATGGCCCCACCCGACTCACCGAGGCCTGGTCCAAGGTCCCGGACGCATACTGGAAGACCCAAGCGCAAGGGACACAGACCGCATTGCACCATCCTTTAAGTTACGATACCCTACAACGGACGACTGTACGAGTGGCAGTGGGCTTGCTGGTACAGGCGCTGTCATGACTCCATTCGCACCGTTCCTTCCAAGTTTCTCGGTTTAGATTTTTGGTACCATAGAGGTATTAGATCATCCGCTCACAGCGGCAATTAATCCCCATTCATCATGGTTCTTCTGCCACATTCGCGTATCCTGAATTTGCCATCGGTCGCGTGAGGTTTTCGGTGGTTGTTCGTATGAAGGTTAGACTTGTGTACATGTAGTCCAGATGTCGGCACGGACGCGACAAGTACACCTGTCCTCGCCCCTTGCCCCCACTTGGGCGAAGCTGCCAGGTTACTGCGGGTGGAGCCATCTCGATGAGCTCTTTTCATGACGTGTTGGCTATCTGCATACGGCAATTTGTCTGCTTCCAGGCCACAGTATGCTTCCTGTGCAGCGGAGTAAACCCCTCCGGGACCAAGTACCTTCCGGAACCGACGCCTATGGAACTCAGCTGGCCCTGCATTGCTACGGCGACCGCCTACTCTCGGGCTGAAACACGAGCGCGTGACATTTACGACTGTCCTGCTTTGCGGCAAGCGTTTGCGTGCTTTGTTTAGGCAGCTGTACTTGACGCAAGCTTGATGCAAGCCGCGGTCCATGGCCTGACGTCACTGGCGGGGCAATAGAGGGGCATCTTTCAGGCACACAGCGAATGCCAGATGAGAAACCCAATCGCCCATGACGCGATACGCATGATAATCACGATCTACAGCGGGATTTGCAAAAAGTGCCACCGTCTTCCTTGGGTTTGTGCGTTGCATGTGATGGTTCGTAGCTGCGGGTACTCGCCCGCGCTTGCGTGGTCTAGCCCCCTCACCCAGAGCTCCTTCCCTGTGACGTCACATCTGGAGCATTCAAACAGTGACGTATGTTTGTTTGTACTGCGTTGGAGTCTAGCGCTCAGCCCCTCCACTAGCCTGTATCTCCTACCCCTCTCACTCTACATAAATACCCTCACGCCCGACTCCCTTTGCTTCCATCATCACACAACAAGCCTTCAACTCCTCTACTACACTACACTTCCTTCAAACCAAACCAACCACCCCAACACTCAAAATGTCTGCTCCCAACGCCAACAACCCCAACGAGGGCATCATCGGCCAGGCCGTCAACTCTGTCAAGAACGCCGCCAACTACGTCTCCGAGACCGTCCAGGGCCAGTCCGCTGAGGCCTCCAAGGAGGGCAACAAGCAGCAGGCCAAGGGCAACGTCCCCGGCCAGGACTCCATCACCGACCGTGCCTCCGGTGCTCTCAACGCTGCTGGTGACAAGATCAACCAGGAGAAGCACGAGGGCTCCGCCGAGGCCAACAAGCGCTCCATCTAAGTACTAAGTACTTGAGCACTGGTTCGACATTTCTCTTCGGTATGTTCCACACTTGTCTTCGGTATATACAACAGATTCTAACCATCACCAGATTCAGAACGATACCACTATGGATTATGAGCGATGAGCACTGCGACTCTCGCCTGGTTACGACAGTACCATGAATTAATAGCCATAAGATACCAATAAATCTCTTTACAAACACTTTGATCATCCTCTGCTGTGACATATTCTTACATGCCTGTGAAACAAATCTCATGTAGCATTGACGAGTACAACATTACTGAGATGAAATAATCTAATCAACAAGATCCCGATCTTGATTAGAACACATCTCATGCGGTTCCGCAAACTCGAAATGCACTAGTGAAACGTCCAGTGAGGATACGTTTCTAACACTCTAGACCTGCGACCTTTAGTGCTGCGGTAGTTCTGCGGTGGCACCATACAGCACTAGGACTACTTTTGGTAAAAACCTACATTAGTTTGCTCACTTCTCAAGTGGATGTCGTGCCGATCGTACATGGCTGGCTAGAGGTCACGATGTTATGTTTAATATGTTTAATATGTTAATGACTCTTGGTAAAAACACTCAGTGATTGTGCTAGCTAAACTGCTATTTCTGGCTAGAATTTAAGCTTAACAACACAAAAGCAACAGCATCGCTCAAGACATCAGTTCGCGGAAAACAAAGGGTATCGAATGATCAGGAAAATGGGAAAGCCAGGTTTGGAAAGAGTCTGTGGGGGGTTGATCTACTTCGTTGGGATCAACTCTTTCTTCGCCTATCGTAGATGCTGCGGTACATGCGACTGTGGAGGGGTTGGTGTGGTACGTGGGCGGGGGCGTGGATATATTCGGTAACGGCGAAGAAACGCAGCGCTGATTTTGGACAGCCGAAAGATGCTGCTGGGGTTTGCAGTAAGTCGCACAAGGCATCGCAGTATGAGGAAGGAAACTCTGGGAATAGTTCATTGGGCGCGTCGAGTTCAAGAGTGGCATGGGACGGAGCGCATCCGAGACAAAAGGACTTTGAGAGCCGGTCGGTATCTCCTCGCTGGAGCAAGCTCTTGACCTTGACGACGGCGGCCCCTAAGCAACCGTCTTGGACCCGTGAAGCCAAGACGCATCGTTCCCGTGTGAGATATCGATTTCAAAGCTGAATCGGATCTGAAAATGGCACGAATCCAGTCAGCAAATCTCTCTGACTCCCAGTCCCAAGTGTGGCAGAGGGGGAGTAGAGAGAAGGCTTTTAGACGTGCTGGTTAGCACGCCCAGTGTGTGTAGTCCTTGCCTTCCTCGTCTTCCAGAACATGAAACCTCCCACGATTGCCGAAATCAGCCAGAGCAACATGTTAGTCAACAGCACCCAGACAGCGTTCTTCATCCTGGTGATGCCCTTGTTGCCCTCTGGGTTCTCGCTAATGAACATTTTGCCGAAGATGCCAAAGGCCACAAGATAACACAGAAAGACGAGCGCGTCGACGCCGAAGAAAAACCAGGACTTGAGCAGTATGAGAGCCAGGGAGCTGACGGCGCCAAGTGTACCGCAAACAACGGCCCATACCCATTTCGAGTCGACGTATTTCCCTTGCTTGCGCGCGTTGTCTAGGTCGACAGCGTAGAGACCGATGACGGTGAGGCCCATGACGAACTGAAAGAATCGTAGGACAATGCGCAAGATAAGGGTGGGTGTGAGCGAGGCACCGAGAGAAGTTCCTAGGGTGGCTTTTTCGCCCCGCATGCTGCTACGTGAGAGGAATTTGAAGCCCATTGTTGCTAGGAAACTAAGCATTGTGTGGGTCAGCTAGGCTCAGTGGTTTGATGTGTGTATGTTTGGAAGATTAATAGGTAAATTCTTACGTTTTGTCGATGCGAAGGGTAGTCTTGTAAGATTGTTCGATCCGTACGTCGTGCGCGGACGGATGTCTCTTAATTCTTTGATGCCTAGTAGGGGTCCTTGGGAGTATCGGTGGTTGGTGAGGTCGTTATGGGAAGAGCGGGGAAGAAATAGTGCGAAGCCGTAGTAATTGACAACTCCTTTTTCGTACTGTGACAGAACTAACGTCGTTGTAGCTTTGCGTCGTGCAAAAATAAACTTCGTTGGCACACAGGGTCCTTGTTTTCCGGGGTAGTAACAATGTTGCTGCTCCCTTCTCTGCTTCTAAGCTCGATGACGTCGTACTTGATCCTTGATGGTGTTGGCACGTGGGTGGGATGTGGCTTCCAGGGTTTAATCAAATTTGTGCACGCGATTATGCTGTTTTGGTGCAAACTCTGGAAGGATCGGCAGAGGGAAGGGGTGTGCTGCGCAAGGCTGACTAGAAACACACGGCAAAAGGGGTATCGCGCTATCAGAAAGATGGACGGGTAAGACGCGGTGAAATAAAATCAATAAGGGATTGTCGCGACTGTCAAAGCCGACGGTGATGCAGAACAAACACGCGATAGAAAACGTAGAAAGCGTTGGAGATGCGCCATTCACCTTGCTATCGCATCTCTTTTGAATCTCTTTGCGAGATATATTGTTACCCTAGACACCCTTTACAGCCATGCGTTGGCGCCTGGACGTGCTCTCAGCGCGCGCTGTGAACGTGTGGTTGAAGACCTGGTGACCCTGTTTCGAGGCGCTGACGTCGTTGGCGCTCGAGTAGCGTTACATCGGCGGCAGGGGTGTGCCACAGCGTGATTGGCCAACAATTGTCTATCAACTGGTGACATGAAACGCAACCATGAAGTCTGAGATAGCTTCGCTGTCGCACAAGACAGCGTATCATGAGTGACCTATGGGCTGGAGTGATGTGTTGACAGTTTCGGCACCTGGAATCTTTGTTGTTTCAAGACCATTCCGCTATGGCACAAATATGTATGAGAAGAGTAACATTATCTTATTCTGGAGGGGCATTAATCGCCCGCGAATTCTGTTCGGCTCCTAGACAGTCACTCGTTCACCAGAAGACTTGTGTTTGTCTTCAAGGGCTGGAATACTTGTAGCCATATTGCTCCTTGGCAGCCTTGATCTGCTCCGCAAGCTTGTGCTCCTTCTCCGCAAACTCAGCGTCGTCCTTCATCTTCTGTATGTAGGTGTCGTTTCCGAATCCACTCTTGCTCGGAATCTCCAAGCCACGCTGAACTGCAGGCCGTGCAAGTATGCGCTCCCACCACTTCTTCAGGTTGGGGAATGACTCCAGGTCTACACCAGAGATGCGAAGCATGTGGACCCAACCAAAGCTGGCAATGTCCGCAATGCTGAACTTGTTGCCTACGAGGTAGTCGGACTTGGCCAGAGCCGCGTCAAGCACGCCAGCAAGACGTTCAGTCTCGCCTGTGTAACGTTGCATGCCGTAGGCGATGCGCTCCTTTGCGAAACGGTTGAAGTGGTTGGCCTGGCCCTGCATCGGGCCCAGGCCACCGTGTTGCCAGGCCATCCATTGCTCTGCGCGCGAGATATCGAGAGGATCGGAGAAGCTGAACTTGTGCTCGGGGTCGTAGTGGCGCGTCAGGTATGCAAGAATTGCGAGACCCTCCTGGACGGCGAAACCACCCTGGTCGTGGTCGACAATTACACTAGGCAGTGGAGCGCAATGTCAGTACAAGCCTCACAAATGATTCGGAAGGCATCGTTGCTTACGGAATTCGGCCATTGGGGCCGAGCTTGGTGAACCAAGGCTCTTTCTGTGTGTTCTTGCTGATGTTGATGGACTGCCATGTGTAGTCTTTGCCATAGGCATCCTTGAGCTCCTCTAGCAGAATGCTAGCTTTCCATCCATTGGGCGTGCCAAAAGTGAGCAGCTCAATGCCCTTGTCCGCCTTCAATCCGGTGGGTTCTTGGTCCGACATTTCTGGAAGTATGCGCAGTAACGGCTGTGAGGTGTGGAAGTGCGATCGGGGGATTATGCGCGTCTGGGTGGAGAGGCGTATGAAGTTCTTAAGCTGCGAGGATAGAGAGGAGCGTAATAGTGACATGAAGAAGGCTAGCCTGCGCGCAAAGGAGGGGTTATATGCACAATGCGGGCAGGCGCATGTGGAGAGCTACCTCTTCCTAAGTGGAATTGCTTAGGAATCCATGACGTCGCCGCACCAATATCTACGGACATTGCATAAGCTTCGCACATCGGTATGGTAGGTACGCCGAACGGGTCTCGTATACACGATAAAGGATCGAAAGTCTGGGAGTCGTGTCAAATGTCGCATCCCAGAATGCGCTGCACATTGTCAGCTTCTGGTTGTTTTCGTGACTAAGCGACTCCCAAGGCCAGGATACCCAAGCGCCTGTGGTACCTCAATAGCTACGGTCATACATCAAGGCAACTTGATCAATATAGTTCTTCTTGAACTAGATCGATATGCCAATACTGTAGAGGTCTATTCATATCAGACAGATAGGCAAAACGCCTGTTGAATTTCGGGGTACTCTTAAAGATACGTACATTGTGGAGTCAAGATGTGCTTAATAATTGCAGAGGATATCGACTCAATGCCCTCATCCGCTATCCCGTAATCTTTGGTGGTCAAGCCCGAAAGCGCTGCGAATACAGTCAGACTCAACACGTTCAGCAATAACAAGCAGGTCGTCTCGCATAGCCTCGCATGCGCTTACAGAGCTGTGATACTGTGATACGCTGGATAATCCTAATGCGTTCTGTAGTAAACTTTAGAAAGGGTAAGCGTGCTTCTATAGTAGCTGTAGTATAGTCATGGGGCGTTGGTCGCCGAGAACGATTGTAGAACATTTTTACGATTATGTATGTCTATGTATTGATATACAAGCTGTATCCAAGTCTCATACTATACACCTCCTGTATACGACCGTACAACGCATGCGCAAGAGAGCTATTCAATGACACACTGCCGCACGTCATGAACATCAATTGATCTTGTATTCACCTCCACCTCCACACCAACAGCGGCCCTCACCTTCCCTCTCCACATGAATCACTAGATCCATGTTCCGATCCTTCAGGAACTGATGTGAACGGTCCCGTACGTCTTCCAGATCT